ACAGTATCAAGTATCACCACATTTGAGTATTTGGCCCAACGAGCGACGAAGACGATGAAGACAACAACATCAGCCATCAGCACCCGCACACACACCACCCCTCCGCTTAAGTATACACAACTATGTGAAGAAATTTTGGTGAATGAAAAAGAAAAAATCAAACGTTTTCACTTTACACATGGTTTTTTTTCACACAATTCATTTTTACGACTTTGATTTTCCGAACATTTTCAATTTTCATTTTCGAAAATTTTTCATAATTTTTTCAAAATCCAATTTTTCACTTTCAATTCATTTTTCTTTTCGTTATTTTCTTTTATCACTCCACGTAAATTTTTATTTCCATTTCATTTTTGATTTTTTTCTTTCATTTCCTACGAAACGCACTGACAAAAATTTTTCTATCTATGCACCACGTTCTTGCTCTGAGTCGTTGACTGGCTAGCAGGAACCATCTGAAAAAACCCCCCCAACAAAAAAGGATTTTTCACCAACAGCTGGCTCCAAAAAATTCCGCACTCTCTTTAAATAACAAATATTTTCTCTCTACTTTCCTTTGAAAAGAAAAGCTTTTTTCTCATCCTGCTCGGGGGCCAAAACATTGTTTGACAGTTTTCCCACCACCTGTCAGATGACTAATCTGTCAAAAATACAGGATATTTGAAAACAAGGCGGCTTTTGTTCTTTTGTCAAACAGAAAAAAAACACTCTCACTCTCAGTTTGACTCTCCAAATATTTACAGAACAGTCAAAAGGAAAGTGACAACAACTACTCAGAGATGAATTTTTCCTCAGGCGCAGGCTTCACGCCTGACAGCTGATATTTTTAAGGATTTGCCAAGAAATTTCAATTTGAAAGTTTCTGCAGGACTTTTTTGAAATGTAACGGTAATTTAGAGAACAAATTCAAAATTATCCAAGTTATTATTTTTTAGTCATTGGAGACCCTGGGTGACGTATTATTAACGACAATACTTATACGTTATATGGTACTATTTTAAATGTATATATAAAATCCCATTTTTCCGTTTATATAGTGGAGCCATCGATTTCTGTTGTGAAAAGACTTATAGTGAAATTTTATGTAGAATAAATTTTTCATTGACATCATTCGTCTAAAATGAAGAGTTGTTTAAGATTTTGACCCAAAATTAAAATTACGTTTTCAAAAAATAAGCATTCATTCGTGCTAACCAAAATAAAATTAAGATTTCTGCAAGATTTTGACCTTCAATTGAAGATACTATGAAAATTTTCAAAAATTTACTGAACGAAATTAATATCGATATTTAATAAGCATACAATTTTCATTGACATCATCCTCCTAAAATAAAGCTTTGAGGATGATATTGGCCCATTATAGAAAATAATACGAAATTGCCGCAAAATAATTGTTGGTTGCAATTTATGCTGACATTTTCTTGATATGTAGTATAGCTATCGATTTCATTTGTTCGGATACCTATAGTAAAATTTTATGAAGAATAAATTTTTCATTGACATCATCCTCCTAACGTTAGGTTTTGAAGGAGTTATTAGCCCAAAATGGAAAATGCCATGAAAATTATCGAAAATAATTTTTGCTCATAATTTACCCTGATATTTTCGTGATATATAGTTAAAGCTATGGATTTCTTTCGTGCGATGGCCTATAGTGAAATTTGACAAGGAGTATTTTCTTCATTGAAATCTCAGCCCTAAAATTAATTTTTCGGGGAGAGATGTTGACCCATAATTGAAAATACTAAGAAAATAAGCCAAAAATTGTTTGAACAACATTTTTATGGCCAAAGGGGTAGATTTTTAAAAAACTTCCTCCAAAAGGCAAAAATTCCAAAAAGTTTTCTTTTAAAAAAATATAAAAATTTCAAAATAAAAGCTTTTCGTCAAAGAAAAAGCTCTTTAACGGTTGGGTACTGAAATTCACCTCAGTTTTTACTACGTTGTTAAGGTGAATGTATGTGGTGAGTTTGATATATAAAAAGCTTTACATGATAAAAAGAAAGCTTTTCTAAAGCTTGACTGCAAGAATTGCCATATTGAAGGTTTTCCGCTTAGATTTGATCGGTTTTTGGTCATATATTTAATACCCTCAGCCTTGTGACCAATGTTTCTTTGGACCAACTCCGTTACAGATAATTCCGAGTCGATTTACAAATGGCCGTCCTTCTGTAGCTATAAAATTCTTGCGGATACCTATAGTATGATTGTATCGAAAATATTTTTCACTCCATAAAATGGATATTTTCTCTCAAGATTTGCCACCAAATCGAAAAATGACCCTTTTCAATGTAAGTATTTTTTCTTGAGAATACATATTGTATCTACAGATTTCTTTTGTTCGTTGACCTATAGTAGAATTTTATGAGGAATATTTTTGTCAAAATTAAAATTAATTCTTTTATTATTAATTCGGGGATTTGTGTAAGAAAATCGGTATTCATCTAAATTATTCCATAACATATTCTTGAATATCACATTTTTGGAATATTCCATTATTGCAAACGTTATTTCAAGCAGACATGTCAAATCTATTAAATTTTAGTGTTCCGTGACCCATAGTGAAATTTGATCTAGAATATTTTTTTCATTAACACCTTTCCTCAAAAATGCATAATTGTGCTAGAAAATTACTCCACATCGAAAGTACTCCATAACACATGATTCCACATTATTTTGTTTTCATAATTAATTATTGTTAGCGATATTTTATTGATACATATTATATTTTCCGATTTTTTGGGTTCAGGGACCTTTAGTGAAATTTGATATAGAACAATTATTCCATTGGATGTTTTCCTCTAAAGTTAAAATTTGTGGCCCAAAATGGCCTCACATCGAAATTACTCCATAAGATATACCTCTATATTACACCTTTTGCATAGTTCAATCATCGATCCGTAATTTCATGTATATCTGTTATATCTACCGATGTCTGGTGTTCACTGACCCATAATGAAATTCGATGTAGAATATGTTTTCCCTTGACCCTTTTCCTCTGAAAGTAATATTTATGGTAGAAAATGACCTCATATCGAAATAACTCAATTACATATGCCTGTAAAATACACTTTTTGTATAGATCATTATTCGAACTGTTATTTTTTGTATATAAGTTATATCTATCGATTTCTTGTGTTGAGTGATCCATAGTGAAATTTGATATAGAATAATTTTTCCATTAGAAGTTTTCCTCTAAAATTTGAATTTAGTGGAGAAAATGATCTCACATCGAAATTACTTCATAAGATATTCTTCCATATTAACCTCTTTGCATAGTTCATTATTCGAACCGTTATTTTTGTATATAAGTTATATCTTTCGATTTCTGGTGTTCCGGGACCCAGAATAAAAATTGACATACAATAATTTGTTTAGAAGTTTTCTTCTAAAATGAAAAATTGGGGGATAAAATTACCTCAGATCGAAATTACTCCATAAGATATTACTCCATATTACCCGTTTTGCATTGTTCATTATTCGAACCATAATTTCTTGTATATCTGTTATATCCAGCGATTTCTGGTGTTTGGTGACCCATAGTGAAATTTAATATAGAATAATTTTTTCATTAGATATTTTCCTCTAAAATGAAAATCGGGGGGAGAAAATTACCTCACATCGAAATTACTCCATAAGATATTACTCCATATAACCCGTTTTGCAAAGTTCATTATTCGAACCATAATTTCTATTATATCTGTTATATCTACCGATTTTTTGTGTTCAGGGACCCATAGTGAAATTTGATTTAGAATATTTCATACATTAACACCTATCCTCTAAAATGAAAATTTATGCAAGAAAATGGCCTCACATCGAAATAACTCCATAACATACTTTCGGGTCTCTAACATTTATAAGTCGTTCTGAAAATATGAAATAAATAGAAGACTTTTGCAGATCAAACTTCATCAGGCTCTGCTTTGACTATAAAACCTCATCCTTAGAGGGTCACTTACTTTCACTTTCCAGAGGTTACTTTGAAGGATTTCTACTTGGATAGAATACTTTGCAGGGGTCTTTTAAGTATAAAATATAGTATGACCCGTTTTAATATTAGAAAATTTTCGGACCTATAATTTTTTATATCGTTTTTTTTTTTCATTAAAAAAATCCGCTCATAGATTTTCGAAATATATATTTATTTATGTATAATTTTTGCTTGTTTTTTTATTGTAATCCGAAATATGTATATACAATAGAGAGTAGTAGAATTGTTGTTGTGTGTGTATCGCATTTTTTTATAATATTTATAATTACACATGTAAATATATCAAATATATGTATGTAAATAGAATATATATAAGTAGTTCAAGGCTTCATTAAGGCAAGCTCAATATTTTTTTCTTTCATTATGTATCAAACTAAGGTTCGTTGATAAATACAATCGGGGGTTTTTCTTTATATATAAATAATATTAATAATAATGGATTTAATTATAATTAATAAAATAATATTTATAATTGGAATGTATAATTTTTAATAAAAACAAAAAGAAAGGAAAATAATAACAAAAAAGGGGAAGAAAAATAGGAAAATAAGTAATATAGGAAAAAAGAAAAAAAGTAGGTAATACACAACATTAGATAAATTAAATACTAAAAAAAGAATAATTATTTTATAAAATACAATTTAGAATGCCAGCTCTGGTTGACTTAATTTAATTTTTAATTTTCAAAATTGTAATAATAATGTGTACCAAAATTGGCAGTAACCGCCCTCATCATCTTATATGCCCGGTTTTGGCCTTGTCAATATAGTATGCCTTAAAAAAATCTCTATATGCCTCCTTTCATTTTTTTTCTCTTTCTTTATCTTTGCTTCCTAAAGATGCCAGATCTATGGGTTTTTTCTTATTATTTTTTTTTAAATAAATTAATCAACAACAATATTTAAAAGCGAAGGAAAAAAATGAAAAGAAACACATTTTTTTCTTTTGTCTTAGTTGTTAGGAATTCCTTCTAGGATATAACATTGTCCTCGTCATCTTCTTCTTAGTTCTCTTCTTAGGCATTTTGTTGTATAAGATTTTCCCATTGGGCTATAAGACCTTTCGATGAGGGTGTCTCTTCGGGATCCATCTCACAGAGTTGGGCCAAGGAGACAGCTGGTCGCATACCGCCACGTTGTTGTTGCTGCTGCTTATCATAATCGGGAATGGGCGAAAGGCTAAAAAGGAAAGGAGAAAAATATTTAATATGGTAACCAAATTTCAGGGATGTGGAGATCTTAGCGTACCTATTGGAACTGCTGTTGTGTGCCGAATCACACATATCACCAATCGATTTGGCAGCACGCAATTTACCAGGACCATAACAGTGCTCAACCTCAGAGTCATCGCTATCGGAATCGGCCAATCTGAGAATAGAAAAAATAATGGAAAGAGAGGGTTATAGAAGTGGAGGAATAAACATATAAAAACCTTCAATGTATAGACATACAGGACTTTTAGGAAATGTTCTATTGAGAGGAGAGGTATTCCTAAGTTAAATATCCTTCCAGAAATCATCCATATATGGAGTATGAAGAAAAACGTTTCAAATAAGCGTTCAAGGGACCTAACAGAGGACCGACCGTAGTTAGAAATCCTTCCAATTTTTTCTACAGAAATAAGGTCGCCAGAGGTCTTTGATATTCGAACAGTAGTTAAAAATCTTTTCAGATTTTTTCTACAGATAAAAGAGGAGGAGAGGAGAGGAGAGGTATTCCTAAGTTAAATATCCTTCCAGAAATCATCCATATATGGAGTATGAGGAAAAATGTTTCAAATAAGCGTTCAAGGGACCTAACAGAGGACCGACCGTAGTTAGAAATCCTTCCAATTTTTTCTACAGAAATAAGGTCGCCAGAGGTTTTTGATATTCGAACAGTAGTTAAAAATCCTTTCAGATTTTTTCTACAGATAAAAGATTGGCAGAGGCCTTGAAGTCTCCTAGAAGATCCTTCATCTATGGACTATTCTCTGAAGTTATTCCTCTCAGAATACCATGTAACCTCCTATAAATGTATGGACTTTAAAAGGTCTAATAGAAGTCTAATATACATTTATGAGCTCCTTAACGAAGAACTATAAGCGTTATGCAGTTCTCTTAAATAACTTCTTTCTACAGAACACCTCCTGAGCCTCTCCTATATGTAAAAGGCCTCCTCAAGGTCTTCTACCTCCTTAAGCTTGATATAAATGGAAGACCTCCTAATGCCCCGTTTCCATAAAAAAAAAATTCTATCGAAAGAAGCCCTCCTCAGGTTCTTCTATCTGAAATCTGAGTCTTCCATCGACAGAAGACCCCTGAGAGTCTGCACTTCCTGAGCCCCTACTATCTGTAATAGGCCTCCTCAAGGTCTTCTACCTCCTAGAAGCCCACCATGAATATAAGATCTTCTAAGATTCCGTTTCCATAAAAAACTTCCATAGTATCGAAAGAAGGCTTCGTGAGTTTCTTCTATCGATAATAGACCTCCTGAGAATCTTCCATTGACAAAATATCCCCTTAAATCTTTCACCGACAGAATACCCTTTGAGAGTCATCTATCGACCTCCTGAGAGTCTACCAACTATGGAAACCCCTCTGAGAGTACTCCATCAACAGAAGATATTCTGAAAAAAATTCCAACTACCAACAGATTTTGTAGACTTCCGGAGAATATGATATCCAAAGAAAACATCCTGAGGTTAAAATGCAGATCTCCGGAGGAGTCTTCCAGCATGAGAAGATTTCTAGGAGTCTTCCATCGACAGAAGATATCCTTAGAATCTTCCATAGACAAAATAACACTTAAGAGTCTTTCATCGACAGAAGGCCTGCTGAGAAAAGAGTTCCTGAGAGTCTTCCATCGACAGAAGACCCCCGTTAGAGCCTTCCTCCGGCAGAAGACATTTGAGAAAAGACATTTTTTACTTTTAAAAGACCTACTGAGGCTCTGCTACGCATAAAACCTTCTCTGTTCCAAACTCAAACCTCCGGAGGATTTTCCACTTATATAATACATGAGGCACCTGACTCAGCCTGAGAACCTCCTCAAATAAAAATGCCTTCTGAAACTCGGATCTGAATAGAAGATCTCCCGGAATTCCATTTCGACCTTCTAGTTAACTAAGACCTAAGAGTTCTCTATTTTCAGAAGACCACTTGAGAGTCGTATACAATCCTACTGATGCTCTGGCTTCTTAAGATCTCACCCACAGACATCCAGTGACAAATTTTTTTAGAAGACCAACCAAAAATTTTCTGTAATCACCCTGAAGCTCTTTCATATTTCGAAGACCTTATCAGGCTTTTGTAGTGTTTCATTTTGATCAAAGATTTCCGGGTAGAAGACGTATTGTTCCCCCTTTTTAGGTCCCTTTAATTCTACTTACTCATTTTCAATGGAATCCAAAAGATCTGGTGTCGATTGTCGGATTTTTCGGATCTTCTTCAGCTCACTTTCACGCGTCTTCAAATCCTGCAGCTCACGTTGAATTTTCACCTCCACAGGCACATAGCCAGGACGAATGGGTCTACCTTCAGAATCACGTTCAATTTGTGGTGGCGATAGAATAACACTGGGTACAATTGGACTGCGAATGGCAAAGTCCGGTTGTGTGGTGGAGGCATTGCCCAACAAAGCTGTGGCTGGAGTCATGGGGGTATTGGGTGGAGTATTCAATGCAGCAGAGGGAGAATTTAGACCCAAAACTGCCACAGCATTGTTGCCATTTAGAAAGATTTTGTTACTGTTGTTGTGGCTGGGACTGCTGAGGCTATTGTTCAACTGTAGCTTGCCACGTGAGGCAATGAATCGCTGCATCACTCCCTTATGCGCCGGACTCATGGTGAATTGTTGGCGTGGAGCTTTGATAGCACTCAAGAGAGGTGTGGACACGGTACGTGTCATTAGTTTCTGCTGAGGTGGTTCAGGCGTCAAGGCATAGCAGTTGGGGCCGATGTAACGATGCTCCTTGGCTGGCAAGGGGGTGCTGGGTGCAGTTACGGTCTGGTTGGCGGTCTGGGGTTTTGTGGCAGCCTCATTGAGTTTTTTGATATTGGCCGAGACACCATTCACTGGACTGGAGGAGGCGGAAATGCCCGAATCATCCGAATGGTGATCTTCGTCTTTGATGCTGTTGACGCTCAGGGCGAGCGAGGGCATGTTCGAGTTGCAATCCTCATTGCTGTTCAGTGAGGTGTTGACCGGTGGTACTGGACTCAGGGATTGTAGGCTGTCATTGTGCTGGTCATCGGAGGACTCGTGATTTTCGTTCTCGCCCACAGCCATTGTGGATGTGCTGGAGATGAGACGACGATATTCCTGCTCACGTCGTTCCACCTCTTGGATTTCCTGTTGGATGCGCATTAAAGGGTCGATTTTCTGTAAATAAGAGTGAAAAAAGAGAAAGGTGGTGAGAAAAGGGTGGGGGAATGCTGTAATGATTTAAAAGGGTCTTGGAAAAAAATTTTATTTTTTCTTGAGGTAATTTGTTAAAGGAGATTTATGTCCCGCCAGCCAGCCAGGCAGTGAACCTTGCCTGGTGTAGAAACACTTGTAAAACTTTGTGTTAACTGTTAAAGACGGCAATAAATCTCAATTTAAATGTTCGTAGCTGCCTTTGGTGTATCTGCCTTGGTTTATGACCGAGGTTTTGTGTTTAAAAGTAAAAGTCCATTGTTTTTATTTTTTGGTTTTTATGCCGCATTTAAGACCTGACATTCGTTTGGTATTTGCCAAAATAACTCTCAGGTTAGTTAATGTATTTTGGCGTTTGTTGTTGTTGTTGTTGCTGTTGTTTGTTTTTCTTGTGCAGCATAATTTTTGTTGGGTTTCAACGTCATGGCTAAGATTCATGTTGCAACTTGTTTCCCCATAACAACCACGACATTCACATTCAAATTATTTTTTGGGGTAAGCCAGACCAGCCGCTCAGCCAGGCAGCCACCTAGAGGCTGTGAACCAAACCCAAGCCGGCTATTGACTTTTTAGCCAAAAACAAATAAAAAATTGCGGTTACAACTATGACGTATTAGCAGTGGAAACTTGTTTTCTTCTTTTATACACATTCCAATACAATTCTCAAAATCTGAAAATTGGAATTCCCTTTTTTAGCAGCCACAGCTGCCAGGGTCACAAGAAACTATTTACTTGTGGCTGGCTGGCTGAGGTGTCTGTCATTAGTTCGTGAGTTCCTTTCTAAGCATTTTAAATATTTGCTTAGCAAATTTTAACAATATCTGGAGAAGGAAGAGGGAGTAGTTGGGAGGGTTAGTCAGGGCAACAGATGTTGATTGACGGGAATTTTTAAGGGAAAAGACAATGTAATTTAGACCGCACATTGCAAACGGGTCAAATGGTAAACCGCAAAAACTAATGCTGTTCCACACCTCACACACTTTAGAAGAAGATTTAAATTTTATTTTACGGAAACCCTCCCGATGATTTGAATAGATTACCTCCTAAATACCTACATCAGAACCATGCAAGAAACCCTTCTGAGAATCTTCTAGCTATACAAGCTGTACCTACTATCCTCGACGATTTCCTGAGAGCCTGCTAGCTATGGGAGACCTCTATAGGGTTCTTTACTTTAAGATAACCTATTGAGGATAATTTTTCAAAAATCTCCTTGACGATTTCCTGAGAGCCTGCCAGCTATGGCAGACCTCTATAGGGTTCTTTACTTTAAGATAACCTATTGAGCACAATTTTTCAAAAATCTCCTTATAGTTTTATGACCTATTTAAAGGATGTCCTACTTATAGAAGACCTCATAAATACGGATATTAGACCGCCGGAAAAAACTGCTAGCTATGACAGACCTCTTCAGGGTTACTCACTTTATTTTTAGGTGACCTCTTAGGGATAATTTTTGAAAGATCTGCCTTGGATCTTATATTTGTATGATCTCTAAAACCTCCTAAATATACACAATAGACCTCCGGAAGATCCGGAAGAAACCCTCATGAGAATGTACTAGCTATACAAGACCTATACCGGAGTACTGTTTATTTTTAGATGATTTCTGCAGGAATTTTCGTTTTTAGATGCAGTCTTATCTCCTATAGATGACCTCCTGAGGGTCTCCATAGTTTATTATTGTATAGAAGATCTCCTGTAGCTCTTTCCATTTATAGAAGCCCACTTAAAGTTTTACTGTCTATAGAAAACCTCATTAGGCCCTGAGGTTTTTCTGGACACTGAAGTAATTCTGTAGATCTTCCATATATGCACAAAAAAAAAATCTGAAAGAGCGCCTGAGAGGGTCCACTTGAGAGCTGTAGATTATCATCTTCTACAAAAGACTTTCTAAGGGTATTCTTTCACATATAAAATCTGGGAACCTGCAGAGGACCTTCTGTATAAAGAAAACTCTTGAACATATCCTGAAAGATCTTCATTCCACATAATCTTCTTTCTGAAAGTCTAAGGAACCAAATTTTGGGGAGGGATAAAATTGGGTTTTAGAAGAGGTTTTGAAACCCATCTGAAGGAATGTTGAGGAACCTCCGAGGGTCTTATAGGGCTATTATTTTATGAATGTTTTTCCTTTGGCTCTTTCCATCGATATAAGACCTTCTGAGGACCTTATATTCTTTGATGATCCACTGGGAGATATATAGCAGGTCTCCGGATGGTGGGATCTTTCTACATAAGACCTCCTGAGATTGTAAAGAACCTAACTTTGGGGAGAGTTGAGATAAAATTGGGGGTTTGAAACCCCTCTGAAGGAAACATAGAGAAACATCTGAGGGTCTCACAGGACTATTATATAGCAGATCTGCGGATCTATACTTATTAAAGATCAAGCAGTCGATCTATTAAATGTCCTGTGATCTTTTTATAAGGCCTATATTTATTGAAGGTCACATGGGAGACCCACGTTTTTCTTCCTAAAAATTGTCTTCTAAAATTCGTGGAAGATCATTTAAGGCCACAGACCTGAGAACCTTATATTTATTTATTTATTTGGCCAATTAATATGAATACATTATGCGAAATCTTTGATATATGGCACTACTCTAAAAACATGGACATTGAGAAATGCCCAAAAATTTATTGAAGATTCCCTGGGACACCTATAGCAGGCCTTCGGACTGAGGGCTCTGTATTTAAAAAAATCGAATGGTGGAACTATAAAAGACCAAAGGCTCTTATACCTACCGAAGGTCTCTTATGGTTCATCTTCAAAAAAATCTGCTTGATGGTATTTGATATTCGAGATAAATAAAAGGACTCTTGAGACCATTTTATTTTTTACTAGACCTCCAAAGGGTCTTCCATTTATAGAAGATTCAAAAGATGCTGTGGAGAAGGTCTTTTATAATGGAGAGTTTATACAGAAAATCTTTACTTCCTAAAGAAATTTAGAGCAGTTGAAGGAGGAGGCTCAGATGGCCTTTACTTATAGAAACATTTTTATAGATCATCTTCAAGTTGGATGTATCCATATCCTATTAAAAACTAAATGTTCTTCAAATTTAAACCAATATTTCGAAAAAAATATTCTCACACTACGAAATGACCTACCGCATCATTTCCCATGGGAATGAAATAAAACCCTTTATTATTTTTATTAGTTACTGTTCCCATGCTCCCAGGCTCATGACCAACATTAAAATCAATTGATTTCATAATCCACACATATATTCTTTGCAATCATATGCCCCGCCATCCAAATACACAGTTAAAATTTGCAATTATTTGCTAAGCTCTAATCTCTGGCACTGCTACGCGGAGAGGGTTAATGGTGGCCAAATACGTGATGTTCTGAAAAAACAAATCTATATTTCGTTATATTTTCTTTTTTTGCTACAATTTTTTTTTTCAATTTTTATTTTTTGTTGCAGCTATCAGCGAAACATTGACTGTGTTTCCTCGTCCGATATGAAAACATGGGGTAACACAATTTAAAAAAAATAATAATAAAGCAGAGGCGTAGAAGTGAAGAGGTTTGAGAAGGGGTATAAAGGCTTCTAAGTTAAAATATTTTCAATTTCTTTAGAAGTTTCCTACATAATTTTATTATTCTCCCTGGTCTATACGATCTCCCTTGACTATTTGCAAAATTTCACCCACGCCCCTGCCTTTCTATATTAACCTAAAATTGGAATACATAGAACCAAAACAAAATCAAAAAAGAACCGAAGAACAAAAGAAAGAAGAAGAGAAAAACATCTATTGAACGGTTATGGCGGAAATATATATTTGAAGCGTGCACTCAAGCGGCAAATATAAGAAGATTTTTAGGTCGGCCGTTTAGTTTTTCTTTTTCTGATTTGCATATGCCGCATATAATTGAAGATGAGCCGACCACCTCTCTCGATGTTGGCCAATATAACCAAACAACCGACTCCATTGGCCACACGAGAAACATCGTACCGACGTCGTGATGGTAATTGTTTTCATGAACACAACTCAGAGCGGCGATAGAATTGAAGCATGTCGGCAATTGGAGATGAATGGTAAGAAGAAGTTGGGCAGGAGGAAGAAAGGTAGAAAAAGAAAAAAATTATGTGCTAAAAGTGTTAAGTACCCTATAGTGGCTATGGACGGAGGAATTAGGTAAATACTTCTTGGAAATGGGACTAAAATGAAAATAAAGAAGAGAACCCTAAGGCCCTACCAAAATAAGAATAAAAGTCTATATACACTCACTGGATAATCTATTAAGGATTAGCGTGAACATTTATTGTTCGGAAGATGGGAACAAAATTGAGTTAAGGAAGAAGACCCTATAAATGATCTATATGGATTATAAAATAAATGTTGAAGACCTTTAACCCAAGCAGGCTAAAATAAGGATATCAAAGGGCCATATACATATACAGAAAATCTCAATGTTTTTTTCCTATTTGAAGATCTCTAGAAAAGGTTATTTGTAGAATAACAGACCCTTCTGTGAGCCTGCGGAGGTTGGATAATCTGCCTGCGAAAAAAAACTAATACGATCTTCTTTTAAAGGCTTTCTGAGAATATTTTATGCAGTGAATATCTCTTGAGGGCATTATATCTTTAAAAGACCTGCAGACGCTCTTCCATGAAAATAATACATTATTCTGAATCTATAATGCCTTCTAAGCGCTTTGGAACGCCATCTTAAGGTAAAGATAAGACCATCACATATCCTTCCATATACAAAAAATAAAAAGAGTTCTTATTCTTCTTAAAGAGAAAAGAGAAAGAAAAGGATTTTTCTTTGAAGGAGGTTTCACTATCTTCAGAACACCTTTTATGACGATCTACAGAGAATTTTCTACCTTCAGAACATTTCTTATAGATCCTCCCAAATTTAGAAGACCTTTGGAAAGTCATCCATATACAGAAAATGTCCTTAGCGTAGTGGAGATGGAAAAGAGTCATCCATCCTCAAAGGCCTT